GGACTCTGCTCTGCAGCTCGAGTACTTCTTAGACCATGCATCGCCTGGAGAGTTTGTTAAAATACACGTTTCTGGGGCCAGCAGATGGCATAGCAGTTATGTCGCTGGACTCCTACTCCGCTGGCCGTGGTTCGAGTCCCAGACCCAGTTGCTTGAAACTCAAGCCAGGCACGTGTGCATATATGCATGTGTGTATGCATGTGTATGTGCATGCCCAAGATCCCTGGAGGGGAAGGGATTGCGGCGTGGCTATCTCCCCTGGGGGGTGACTTCTCACTTTTCCCTTCACTGTCTTTGTCTCTGTCTCTCTCCCCAGCGAGCACACATGTCCTAAGACAACCTCTAATAAGAAAACATGTTCTTTTTTTTTTTTTTTTTTTGGAGAGGTTTTTGCTATAGGGGGCGTGCACTCACCAGAAAGACAGAGACAGACAGAAAGCGAGCAATCACCCCCCCCCAGGAGGGATGGCCACGCTGCAATCCCTTTTCCTCCATTCTCCTCTCCTGGATCTCGGGCACACACGCAGATGCGCCCGGTGTGAGTTTAAGCCACCAGGTCCGGGACTCGAACTGCAGTCGACTACATGGGAGTCCAGCGACATGGCCATTACGCTAACTGCTGGTCCCAAGAAAACATGTTCTGACTTAGCTGTCTAGGGATGGAGATGGAGATTCTGCGTTCCTGTCAGGCTTCAGGTGTTCTTTTTGCTGCTGGCCTGAGGACTGCACTTGAAGTAGCAAACAAGGATGAGAATCAGCTTGATGATTTGGGGGGAGCCTCTTGGGGGACCCTTTCATGTGGTAACCCTACAGAGGAAGGGCATATTGTCCAGGGTCCCAGGGGAGGTTTGGGGGTGTGTTTGAAGTGGCTGGGATGTCTCTCTGCAGCTCAGAGGATAATGAGAGAAAAAGCAGATGGCATCGTGTCAGTGGCTCATCCTGAACTCTGGGCCATTGTGAGCTCTGTCTCTCGGGATCCGCCTGGCCCTGAGCCCGCTGAATTAACTTCAGAAAACGCGCTCACGGCCGGCCTGCCGCAGCGGCCCTGCTGGACGCCAGCCTAGGTAAAAAGGAGCAGCGGGCCGCGGAGGAAGCCGCGATGTTCTGTAAACACAGCTCCGAGCCGTGCTCCGGTGCCACCCCTGCGGGTGTCTGCACATGTGCACACGCATGCCCTTATCTCTCACTCCATTTTTCCATCACACAGGATTTGGGAAAAAGCTTCTCATCTGTCTGGCTGATGAGAAGTTTGACCCTGAGGGTTGTTATCAGGGTTTGGATCAGCCATTGTTGTGAGAACCATTGAGTACCCTGGACTTGGCAGGAAATAATAATTCAGCAGGCCCCTTCTCTGCGTCGGGCTTTGATGTATAACTCGCCTGGTCAGTCTTGAATCTGGGCTGCAGGAAGCCGCACCGGGGAATTAAGCTCTCCAGGGTCCCTTCCTGCTTGGATAGCCTACGATCTGTGTCTGGATTTGAAGCAGTGACACAACCTGGAATTTGCAGGGTTCTCATGCCAGTCTGGGGACAGGATAGGGGGACAGCTTCTGGCTTCTTGGAGCTGTTTCCTTTCCCTTGTATGTGACAAATTCTTACCCGTGGTTTTGTTTGTTTGTTTGTTTGTTTTTTGGTGTGTGTGATTTTATAAAAACAAAGTGAGTTCTAGTGGCAATCATTCATTATGCTGATGGAAATTGGGAGTGGTGGGACCTCTCGGACCCAGCCCTGTCGCCTTGGGGCTCTCACATGGAGGAGACATTCTATCTTCCCGGCTCTTAGAGCCTGACCTGTGGGCAGGCTGAGGACGCCTTGGGCAGTGTGGAGCTGTCAAACTGCTAATTCTTCTCACCTGTGAAAACAACTGGCATTCTGGAGAGTGACCCTTGACCTGCCCCGGCTCTAGAGCTCAGCCCCAGCAGCAAGAGCGGGGAAATTGATCTCCTACTGTGGCTTTCTTTTCTTTGGGGCTTTGTCATTATGCATTTGAGTTTAGAGCAGCTAAGAGCCGGACAGCCCTACCCCGTGTGGGTGAGGTGGACAGTGTGGGTAGTCTGGGGAAGGCTTGCCGAGATTTCAAAAAGGCTTCTGCATGGTACTCCTGCAGCTGTGGGCCACCATGGCAGGGCCAGAGGATGGTGTGATCTGCCTAGCAGGACCCTGGAGGAGTGCTCCCAGGAATTCCTGAAGGGCTGCAGAGCAGCTTAGGTGCCCTTATTATAGGAGACCTGGCTTCACACACCCACACCTCAGATACACATTTTCTGCATAGAAGCAAATGCGGACCCTCCAAGGCTGGCCCGCAAAGGGTACGCCAATGAATGGACCCCCCGGTTCTGTATCCTCGGGATCTTTCAGGTTCTGGATGTTGAGGAGTTGAGCACAGGAACAGTGGGAATTATGATGCAACTTTCCCGTGGACCCAGACACTGTGTCTCTGAGCCAGGATGTGTGTGCCTCCTGGCCCCTGCCGGCTGTTGTGGGAATCCCACTCGTAGCCTCCTCTGTCCACCCCTGTGCCCAGCTGAGTGTGGGGAGGGGAGCAGAGCCACTCTGAGGCCAGGCTGGGGTGAATGACGGAGATTCCAAGACCAAGGTGGCTTTCAGCATGGAGCAAGGAGAGCCTGGGCTGGCTTTCTCCAGCGCTGGCTGCTGTCCAGGAGCAGTCCGCCTCTGCTAGAGACCTCGTCACAGGCCCCTAGTGGGTAGCGTTCCGTCCCGAGGTGTGCAGGAGTTGATCTAGTTCACAGTGCACCCACTTCCCCTGTGAGAGGAGCCCCATCTCCTTCCTAGGCACCAGGAGAAGCGGAGCTGCTCTGGGCCCAGTGAGCAGGGCCTGGGTGTTTCCACCCTCTGGACACCATGGATTTTGTTAACGTCTTATTGGACAGACCTTTTCCGAATGGCCCATGGCTCAGCACACACCGTGCCTGGTTCACGGTGGTCAGTATCCTCTGCTATAGCTCTTCAGTTGACTACATTCCAGAAACAATGCATAGAACCCTAAGTCAGAGCTGTTTGTGTGCCATCTGGGGGGGGACTTACTGCCCTCTCTCCCATGATGGGCACCTGTGCAGGCCCAGACCCCCCTTCTCTCTCTGCAGGGTGTCTTCTTCTCTTCCCTCCACGGAAGGCCCAGCTAATCACGGCCTGTCCCTGGGCGGCGTCTCAGTTCATGAAGGAGCAGAGTTAGCACCATTCTTGTCCCGTTAGTGGGCAAACTCTTCTCTCCTCTGCGCTGGAATAGAGGAGGCAGTCTGTATAATCCAACACTGCGTTTTTTTTTTTTTTTCTCCCTTTCTTCCTTAAATGTACATGTCGTCTGTGTGATAGGAAGAGGAGGAGGGGGGATGACAGAGGGGAGATGGGGCATCTCTAAATTTCCTATCTTTTTGTTTTCTTTTAATGCTAGAGGGCACATGCACAAGGCAGAGAGCGAGAAAGTCCTGTGAGTGAGGGACTGCAGTCCTTTTTCCTGCATTTCTCTGTCCCATCAGGACCTTGAGCGTGTGCATTCATGCACACACCATGCGTTTCTTTTTTGTTTGCTTTCTTTCTTAGGTTTTTGCCATCGAGCATGTGTACTCACCGGAGACACATCATTAGACACATGAAAGAGAGAAAGTGAGAAGTCACCCCCCAGGGAGATGGCCACATTGCAATCCCCTCTCCATTCTCCTCCTGGCATTTGGGCACGCATATGCAACTGGTGTGATTTTTAAGCCGCTGGGTCAGGGACTTGAACTGAGGTTAGCCACATGGGAGTCCAGTGCCTTAAGCACCACACCACCTGCTGCATGGTTTTCAAGCTGCTAGAACTGGGGTATGAACTGCAGTTGGCCATGTGGGATCCAGCTCCCAATGCACAGCACTTAACCACTGCCAGCCCTAATTAATCTCTCTCTCTCTCTCTGTGTGTGTGTGTGTGTGTATATAT